CACAAAGCCCAGTCGTGTCTCAAAATCAGTGGCACTGTGAAAAAAATCAAAGGGTGCCTAAAATCCAGCTGTCTAGGATAAGCCAGGAACAAATTTTCCAGCAATGAAGGATTCAAAGTTCAGAATTCAAAGTGGCCATCTGCCTGTTTCTTTGTGCCAAATAGAAGGTTTCAAAGTAAGAAATTCTATGCCAAAGTATACCACTCATGTTGTAAAGCACGTTGGCTGTTTCCGACACAGAAATGAGACTATCTCCAGGTAGGTGTCATGCTCTCTTTAAAATAAAAAGAATGAAATAAAAGCGCTTGATGTACCCAGCGCCGCCCTCTGAACTGTGGTGTCCATCACCATGATGATAGGATACCTGCAGAGCCCATCTTCGGAATTCAAGAAATTGTTATCCCCAAACTTTGGTTTCCCATTAACGCGGCCCTGTCGCTTCTTCTGAAATGAAAGCAGCATGAAAAGTGTTTCTGTTCAAGAATACAAGCTCTTCCCTTCGGTCAGGGTTGCTTTGTGGAGCTGTGCTTGGCTATGTACTCACACCTGAAAACGATCATCATGGAAGTTTCACAACTACAACACAGGCACCGGCTCTTCCGACGTTGACTGGCACTTCCTATAAAACAGAGAAGGCCTGGCTTAGATCCTTGTCCTTTAGCAAAAGTTTGAGGTGTCGACATGATTTTATTTACTTATTCGTTTGCACGCTTTCAGACTGCTAAGTGGACAGGAGCTGGGGCGAGGGACGGGAGCTCACCCCATCCCATGGCACTCAGAACTTAAACCCAGATGCTCAGCTTTAACCTCTGAGCCGCCGTGCCCACCGTGACAGGGATACGACTAAGCAATCAGGGCAGAGATACAGTAACTAAGGAATTACCTCTGTCCATTCATTGTTTTGTGCGTCGTAAGATTCTACTGTGTTCAAATAGGTGTGCCCATCGTAGCCACCAACGGCATACAATCTATCTCCGAGGGTACAAATCCCAACAGCGTCGCGAGGAACACTCAAAGGTGCTACAGTGGTCCAAGTGTCAGTTTTGGGGTCATACCTAAAACATTATAAGACAATGTTAACAGATGCTAACTTCAAGGAGAGAGGCAAAATCTTTGTTTTTATGGCTATTACTAAACTAAGATATCTATCCCCTTCTTGTATTTTACTGCAGACATAAGCTATGCAGGTTTTTCAAAGTATCTCAGATGCATTAGCTCATGGTTCATGGTTATAATTTTCCTTCTGGCTTCATTTTGATAGTTGGCTTAGATCAGGCATGCCAAACTGCCGGCCTGCGGGCCGGATGCGTCACGCCAAAACCGCACCCACCCCATTGCCGGCAATGGGGAAAAAGTCCCAATATGTTGCATGACGTCACGTGACATCGCAAGTTTGACATGCCTGGCTTAGATAGTCTTTCTTAGAAAGTCCCAGAAGGGAGATTGATCAAAACAAAAGTATTGTATCAGAGAATTGTGACAGGAGTGCTCCTCTGTTAAATGGGAGATGATATTTATTTTATTTATTACATTTATCCACCACCCATCTCATGGTCATGGGACTGAACTAAAGATAGTTTGGAAATGGGCTTTAGGGGGGGAGAACACCATTTTATTATCCTTAGAATGTTTTAAAGTCACAAAAGTATAAATCACATTATCCAGAGCAGAGATAATCCTAACTTATGATCACATTTGGAACCAAAATTTCAATTGCTAGGGTCAGATTATGTGAGTACATGGATAGAAACCTGCCAGGGAATACCAGGGTTGTAGATTCAAGTGAAAAACTTAAAAAAAAGAATAATAATAAAGCAATGGCTAAACTACTCCAGTATTTTCATCAGAAACCTAAATAGAAATTGTAGAATACTTCTTTTTATTAATAGAGGGGGGAAATAGGAAATCCAATTATCTCTTTTTCAACCACTAGAGGGCTTTCTAGACTAATAGCCAGTCGTAATCTAGAATGTTGCTAGTTATATTCTATGAGCGATGTGGCAAAAATTTGGGTATTTCTACTTGAAAGATGTCTGATAAATCTGCAAGACAGTGCAAAAATCTCTTAGCAGACTGCTCTAAATCATAATCCCATCTAGGGATATGGACTATTTTAGCAATTACTTGCTCATTAATTTAATATGTTTGCATATTTTAATCAGTCGCAATTTAGGAGTCTTTCCAAACCCTTGAAAGAAGTATGAGAACTTATTATAGCAAAGCCACTATTTATAGTTAGCTAAAAAGCCTTTTTAAGTATAGGAGACAGAGGAGGACAATTAGTTTCATGTCAAACCATTGGCTTTGTTTTAAGAAAATATATGTAAATTTGGTACAATAGGATGGTTCTTCTCGTTTTCTATTCCCTTGAATGTGGCTCAGCTGGTCATTGCTTCATTAAACTGTAGATTTTTTTAGAAACTTAATAAGACCAGTATCGGTTGAGATCCAACAGATATGGTGGTGGGATTCAAATCCCTGAACAACTGGTTCTCTGCGTGGATGCAGGCCTGGGCCTCCGAGGCCTATAACTGACTTCCGGAAGGGCCATTCCCGCACTTCCGGTGGGCCGTTCTAGGACTGGGAGACCTCGTCCAGGCCTCTGAGGCTTAGAACGCTGAAGGCCTTCACCGTAGGGACGTGAAGGCTACCCGGCAAGATCCGGAACCTCCGGATCTTACCTAAAGGCCTTCACCACACGTAAGTAGACTAAGAGGTGTGAGTTGTTTTAAATCGATGACCAAGACAACTTGGCCACGCTTGGTCGACTTAGGGTAGTGACTTGTCTTTGTAGTGTATCCGGTTAGGGTTAAGGGACACCTATATTTTTCTATCATTAGCTCATACCTTTCTACACAATCAGAAAGCCGAGAACAGTGATTCGAAGCAGGGGCATCATGGCCTCCCACAGCATAGAGAAACCCATTGTAGGTTGCTACGCCAACTCCTCCACGTCTTTTGGACATTGGGTTACAGATGCTCCATTTGTTCGTGTGGGGATCAAAACACTCCATGGATTTCAAGCAGGAGCTTCCATCACGCCCTCCAACTGCATACAACCTATCGCAATAAACCACACGAGGACAACACTCACAGAGTTAACTGTAGGAAAAGAGAAGGCAGAGCTGGAGGCAGAATCAAATGAGTCATCATGAGCAGGGGGGACTGCTTAAAGGGATATTAAACCTAAGAACAGCCTATGCATTGGTGATTAAAGAGAAAAACTCGCCACACGTACTTGCTGTTCAAAGCTGCAACTCCCACAGTACTCCTTGGAGTTGACATGCTTGCCACGTAATTCCACTGCCGAGCCTGGGGATCCCATCGTTCAACTGTGTTTAGATAGCTCCATCCATCATGGCCCCCAACAGCATACATGGGTCCTTCGAGCATTGCTACCCCTTAGGATGAAACATGCACAACAGGTCAATAGATAATATTGGGTTTAGAATAACAGTGCACACTTGTTTAAGAAGTCACCAACTCTACAATAGTGAATGACGTGCATCCACAAACATCTTAACTATTAGCCAGTTCCAAGTCAAAATCCAAAATCTTAAATTATTGGTCTGGCCATTCATTGATGCCAGATGTACTTCTCACGTGGTCAGTTAAAAGCAAGAAGAAATTTGACCATCCACCCAGGAGGAGGAGTCAATGCCATGACATGATAAGAATAAGGAACATAAAAACGGGGTGAACCACCTTTTTATAAGTAGGGTAACTCTTGGAGCACTGAAGATATTAAATAATTGGGTTACACTTAGAGCTTCCTAACTTTCTTCAATAAATATTACTAACTCTTCTTGAGTTCTGGTTTTTCTTGTAAGCTCATCTCAATACATTCAGGCCTATTTGAATAGCTGAAGCTTATACCAAATCAGAAGTCAGAATCTTAACCTTGATGTCTGTCTGTCTGTCTCTCTCTCTCTATCTCTCTCTCTCTCTCACACACACACACACACACATACATACACACACAGGTTGTTCTGAACTTAAAACCCCAATTGGGACTAGAAATGGGAATGCCACATTGGTGCAGATCCTTATGCACCAATGGTTTCATTTCTGCAGGCAGCCCTTGATTAATGTCCCAAACAATTGGGACCAAACGTTCCGTTGCTAAGCAAGGCGGTTATTGCGTGAGTCACACTTGATTTTATGACCTTTTTTTGCCATGGTTGGTAAGTAAATCACTGCAGTTGTTAAATGAATCGCATGGATTCCCTTTGCAAATCCAGCTTCCCCCACTGACTCGTTGGAAGCCAGCTGGGAAGATCCCAAATGATGATCAGGTGACCCCAAGATGCTGTAACCATCATGAATACATGGCAGTTACCAAGTGCCCAAATTTTTATCAGGAAGCTGCAATAGTCATAAGTGTGAAGACCAGTCAAAAGTCACTTTTTTCAGTGTCGTAATTTCCACCACTAAATGAATGCTTGTAAGTTGAGGACTATCTATCTATATCTCACTATACTTCTTCATGAATCTCGGTTCTGTCCATCCTACCTAAGCCATGCCTATGGGTTGACATGGGGGGCATCACAGTCCAGACTTTAGTTGTTGGGTTGAAACACTCAACGGTATTCGATGTCCTCAGCCCATCTCTTCCTCCCACAACATAGAGCTTGTTGTCAATCACAGCCACTCCAAATTGCAGCCGCCTTCCACTCATCGTTCCAATCTGTATCCAGCTGTTGGTTCTCAAGTCATATTTCTCGATGGTGGTGGTGCCTGTTGGAAAGATAAATAAAAAAGTAGCAGTAGCTGAAAAAAAGGGAACTCACATTCCCACGTTGGTGATTCCTTAATCAGTTGATTTAATGGTTTAATGGTTTCATCCAATAGTACATTATTTTAATCTGCATATATTGGCATCAGGCTACAAGTATGATTTTGAAGAACACCTTCCTATAGTTGCTAGGATTTCCATCTGACTGAAACGATAGCTCTAAAGGGTGCTTTGCTTCTTTTAAAATCTGCATGAAAAATTGTATCGGGATGTGAACATTTAAGGGATTTTCTACCCCTTTTTTATTTTCATTTTTCTGAGCCAAGAATTGTGGTGAAACATTCTTAAAACTCAGGGAAAAGCTGAATTATTTCACCTGGCTGTTGTCTAACCGATCAATTTCCTACTAGAATTTGCAAAAGATCAAAATTCTTCAAGCGTTCCTGGGAGTAACATCTAAAATACATCCTTCCATCTTTTTCAGAAAGAAGAGCTATATATTTCAAAAGCAAAGACATCTGTCTCTTCCTCTTTCATTTTCCCTGACGCGTTAAAATTAGAATACATTTGTGTTTTTTAAAAAAAGCAGTTGGGCACTGTAAGATACTGCAACCTGCCACAGGAAAGCAGAATATCCTATTTATACCCATGAAATTTGAATTCACTCCACTCCCATCTTTCCGATTTGAAAGGCAAGGCGCTCGGTATGGATTTTAAGGACCGTAACTTCAGCTTTGATATTTCCTAGGGCCATTATGATTTTGCAAGGATTGCAATGCGATCTGGTTTTTCTTTTTTAAAAAAATATATTAATCTACAGAATGTAAAGCACCGTGCTTTTCGATTTAGAAGTTGGCGATCCAGTACACCTGTATAATATTGATATTCATCTGACATAATAAAATGAAAGGTGGTGGCCAAACGCCCTGCTTGAAATCAGTGCAGACATTCAGTTTTACAACTATTTCCGCAGCAGCCACCTGTTTCGAAAATTGCTTTTCTAGGGTGGTTTCCTGTAAGTGTGAGGCCAACATTTCTACAAGAGGAAATTGAAATCCAAATCTCCCTTTCTCTCTGTCCTCTCCCACCTCTCTTTATTCCTCCTCCTCCTCCCTGTACACTCCACTCCATTCTAGCACTGATTATGTTACTTAGTTTGGCAATGAAATGTCTGCAAGAAAACAAACAAGCTCAGAGAGCACAAGGACATCACAGGCCTCCTCCTCCTCCTCCTCCCTCTCTTCCTCCCCCTCCCCACTTAACCACCATGTCTAAAAATAAGACATTGTGGGAATCTTGGGATCATCAAAGCAAGTTTGGTAGACCACACGTAGCATTCAGATCCCACATTTCATACAACTGGTTCAGTGACATTGTAGAAGTCAGGTGATTTATCCTGATCTGAGCTCCATATCATCTCAGAAGCCACTTTATCGGATAGTGGGCTTTACCTTTGGTGGCATCCATGCCTCCCACAGCATAGAGACAACCAACGGTGGACTTCCTGGGCTTTGTCCTGGGACTTTGCATCATGGATCTCCTTTCTGGTAACAGGTGGTATTTCATTGCTTCCATTAAGAGTTTCTGGCACTGAAGATCCGTCGTAAACATGGGGCTGTTTTCCAGATCAGCTAAAAGCTGTGGCAAACATAATCTTATCATTCCTACTGAAAGAATCAGGAAATCATTTCTATCAGCAAGTCCTTATTAACACTGTTGTTTATCTTCCAGAGCTAACTGAACTAGGAACCAGGTCAACTGTTGTGCAGCTAATGTGCATGTCCACTAGATGAGGTAAATATGGAGCTCCATAGATGTCTGGTAAACCCTAGTGAACACGCTATATTGTGTTTTCCAGTTGCGTTCTCTGAATCTATTGCAGCTCCTATGAACTCTACATAAGATACTGTACTTAGAAATGGACCAAATACTTGTGGAACTCAATCATGGGGGACCATACATAATAGGCAGTGGTGGAATTCAAATATGTGAACAACCGGTTCTCTGTGTGGATGCCGCTTCCGGAAGTCCATTCTGGGTCTGGGCAACAAAAAATTAGCTACCGGTTCTGTCGAACTGGTGCAAACTGGCTGAATCCCACCACTGATAATAGGGTTTTAATTGCATGTTTGGACTAAAGTCTTTTTTTTACTCTTAGAAGCCACATAGATAGAGCTTCTCCATGACAATCTATCCCTAACCTGTTGTAGGAGAAGGAGTGGCAGAACCTGGGGTGAAGTTAAAAGAGGTATCAATCTAGAATCTCTATGTAGCCATAAACTGATTAAGTTTAACCCCCTCCTTGAATTCCATTGACCGTTATCTGACTCCAAGCAGGTACTAACCATTAGTTGAGACGATTCCTGTGCATATGTTGTCTAACTATAAATCAGTTTATTTGGATTTTCACATTTGTGAACCTGATCTTTTGCACCTGCTGCACTCATTTCCACTGTAACTAAGCCATCCACCTTGCTGCTGGTTGTCCTCTTCTTTTTCCTTCCACCTTCTGCAGCCTAAGAACCTATTCAGAGAATATTCATAGTCCACCACTTGGAACCTACCTCTGGAGAAAGAAGGGGCAACCTTATGTAAGACAGAAGCATTCCAAGATCTTGTTGCCGACTGTCTAAATCGTGCTGAACCCATATCATTAATGCCTTGAAGATTGATTCTTCATCTGGGACATTAATATCATCACTGGAAAGGAGCTTAGCAATTTCACCAGCAGGAAGTAAGAGGAACTCCTGGTTCTTTATGACTTCGGTGAAGTGTTCCTTAAGAAGACAATAAAGAAAAGGTATTTAAATGTCATTTTTAAAAAAATACAACCTCTTAAAAAAATCACAATGGCTTACACTTTTTCCCCATGGTAAGGTTCTTCCAAAATTTCTCCTTAGTTCTCGATTGGATCTCTTTTTGATAAGTTTCCATCCTTTACTTCTTGACTTGTCCTCAGGTGTTTTGGAAAAGTAGCCTAATTTTGGTTTTCTCTTTAGAAATACCAGCTTCCTGACATTTTTGGATCCATAGTTCATTAAATCAGAAGTTATAAGCAACTTAAGAAAAGGGTCATCCACTAGCCTTTCTTTTATAGAGTTGCAATGCTAGCAGTGTGAACTCATAAAAAGAAAAGATCTCGGGGTTACCTGCATGTTAAGGCAGTTGCTTGCTAGCAGCTGTTGACCCTGCACGACGCTGTTTTCTTCAGTGCCTCAACTTGCTGAATATGCATTTTCTTTTTAAAAAAAATGCAAGAAAAGGGCCTTTGGTGGGAGTTACAAAAGAGGTGATGGCCTCACACCTTCCTGCCCTCTCGTGATGTTTTAAAAAAAGGAGCCAGGGAAGAATTGTTGCAAACTTCAAAAATAGCACTGGTTGTTTATGGGAAGTGATTTTATCTGTGGAAGCCAGCAGGAAATGGTTAAGACTCCAGATCAGTAGTAAAACTTTTAAAGAGGAATGGAAATCTCTTGCTGGAGTCTCTGAGCTTGGATAAGATCTGAACCTGTTTGCTCCTGGGCCAGCCCACCTTTTCCAATATCTAAGGGGCAGCCACAAAGAAATGTTGTTTAATGTCTAGTTTAATAAAAAGAAGGACTAGCGATGACATGATAGCAGTGTTCCAATATCTGAAGGGTTGCCCCAAAGAAGAGGGAGCCAAGCTATTCTCCAAAGCACCACAAGGCAGGACAAGAAGCAACGGATGGAAACTAATCAAGGAGAGAGGCAACCTGGAATTAAGGAGAAACTTCCTGACAGTGAGAACAATTAATCAGTGGAACGAATTGTCTGCAGAAATTGTGGGTGCTCCAACACTGGAAGATTGTAGGAAGAGACCAATTGTCTGAAAATGGTATAGGGTTTCCTGCCTGAACAGGAGGTTGGATCAGAAGGTCCAAGGTCCAAGGTCCCTTCCAATTCTGCTAATCTGTTATTCTTATCTTCTCTGCCCATTTCCAACGCAGTCCTCAGCACAATGCATTTGCAAGCAGTGAATGTGTGGGATTGAGTTCCCATCCTTACCATAGTGTAGACATGGGCCACTTGCAAGAGTTGTGAGCACCCTTGAGCATCTCCAAAGGACCGGATTCCCAAGCAGTTTGAAGGATGAAGTTGCTTCATGAGAAAATTGCAACAGACCTCAATCACTTGTGACAGTTGCAGAAGACAAGCTGCAGCCAACAAGCTCTCAATGGTGTCTTCTTTTAGCTCCAGCATGCCTAGGTGATTCAATTAGAAAGAAAGAAAGAAAGAAAGAAAGAAAGAAAGAAAGAAAGAAAGAAAGAAAGAAAGAAAGAAAGAAAGAAAGAAAGAAAAAGAAAGAAAGAAAGAAAGAAAGAAAGAGCATGAGAAAATGAATAACATTTTTTTTTAAAAAAAAAAGCCTTCTGTGCTGAGAAGTGTGGAAAGTTGTGAGATGTGGGGATAACTTAGGTTTAGTCTAGTTTGGAAATTAGTGGCTAAGCTTGCACAGCGTTCTTAATCAGCAATATTTGCCCAGCCTGCTAAGTTTGGTTTGTGCAATCTTGATGAAATCATTAATAAATTT